AAGTTATTGTTAATTATCTATTGGTTTAATGTAAGTGGCTATTGTTCGAGACGAACAATACTAAGTAAGAGGCAGTGTTACGACAGCGGAAGTCACGTGACGCTAGTAACACATAATGATATTCTCGAAGGTTCTTGAATGCTCGAGTGTTTACTAGATGTGCGGTATTCTTGTATGTAAGACCGCCAAGCAGTGACGGCAACAATGAAACGTAACAATATATATATAATTAACACAAAATTCTTAAATCCTGAACTGGTGTCTTTTTTTATTTTTGGTATGTAAAAGTAGAAACACTATAATCAATTTTAAGACTGCCTCAGATGCAATGCGAATTAATATTTAACTACTTTAATTAACGGCATTAATATCTTCTTCCATCCCCATTCCAAATAGTAGCCTCAATGTTTGAAGTATTATTTTTCAAAACTCAAAATCCCTCCACCCGTCGACAGAAGTTCATATCTTTTTCTTTCTTCTTCTTCTAGAAATTCAGTATTGATTGTAAAAGCTTAAGCAAATCATATTGTGATGGTCGGATTTGTTTGCTTTAACATGTCATCAATTTTGACAAGGAAGTAAACCCTTAACGTGTGTTGATTGTTGAGGCGAGTTGAACTGGACGAACGTTACACTGAAATCGAGATGCAACAAATCTATGAGCTATGACTGCGCATGCGCGAAATAAAATTGGCAGCAATGATATAGTCTCCAGTTTTATTAGTATATATGTCTTCACGAAGGAAGCTGATTTGGCAAAGGAAGTATAATTTTTCGCGATACGATTCCTTTAAACCGGTCGCGCGTATTTCCAGGTTGATATAACTCACTAAAATATCCATTTTTGTCTACAAATATTAACATGGTGCATTCTAAATTTCGCAGTTATTCTGTGTGTAATTTAATTCTAACTTAAGAGTCTTGAAAGAACATTCCAAACTATAACACAGATCCTAATATTTCGATGTAGACAAGAATAAGTAGTTAAAGTCCAAAAACATAAAAATATATAAATATTTATTATAGGAAATCAAGTTATTTAAAAAAAATGATTTTGTTTTAAATGTTTTTGATTATTTTATTTATTCGCTCGTGAAATATT